CCTACAGGTTGGTCGTAGACCTCGGTAATCTTCGTGATCTGTTATTTCAGTTCCCTCTGGAGGGCGTGAGATACCCCGAGGCCCCGGCTATTGTCGATGTATCGTCCAATCACCTCTCCACCGTTGCTTGCGATAAGCTGACTGGGATGGTGGACAAAGTAGCGCAGCAACATGCAAAGAAGGGAGAGGATCATGTAAGCTGTAGAGGCTTGCTTTTGGAAACCGTCACAGCTTGAAGTCGTTGAATGAGACAAAGGCCTAGAACATACTAGGCAACAGCCTAGGACTTAGCTTATACGAAAATCCTGAACATGGTCCAGTCACGACCCACTGTATGAGTACTACTAGAACTGAATTGGTCTATTGGTGCTGGTGTCGGGCATCGTAGTTGAGGAAGTGTTTCAAGAGTTTGATATATTATTCTTGTCGATAGGTGTTACCGTGCATAAAGCTGTTCCGTGATGTTATGCGGAAGTCGTTGCTACTGCCTTGCATGGAGGAATTAGATCTACTCAAGAAAAATGTCCTGCAGGAAGGAGATGTCATGAAGCTGGTGGATAGCAAAGGGAAGATACACCTTACAGTGATGGCCTCGATAAAAGGTTTAGATGGCTCTCATCAGATTGTTGCTCAGATTCACGAGGGAACGATGCACGTTAAGTTCGATTTGAAAGTCCCAACTGAGTAAGCCCTGGGCCCTGGCTCTTAGAGGGGATGCCAGCGCTGTGTATCTATAGCTGGTGTCTACGATGTCAATACCACTCAGTTAACGATTGAATATGTATGTTTTTGGAGGCGGAATATTCGAGAAGTTGAGCCCTTAGCGTTTTAGTTTGTCTATTTGATGTTTCTTTCCTAACTATACCACTAATGTTTCTACTTGCGAATGGTGTCCTCGGTACAGCAGAACCATCGGGCGCTTCCTTCCCCATCACTTCCATGCTGATAGGTACCCGTATGAGTCAGTAACAGTGACTATGATCGAATCCACATTCGCGCCACATCTGAACGAGATGTTCTTCGGACAAGCTCAGGACCTCTGTCGGCGGTGTACAAAAGGACAGACCCTCTCGACCTCCCTGAGGTGCCGCTCACCATTGCCTGTATGTTAGTGTCAATACACATTTGGTAGGTCGAGCGATCCAGCTAAGCCTAGCAAGTCTGTGGTGAAGCTCTCGCTTTCGCAGTAAGCCGTGATTGGTCAAATACGTCTTCGTATGATCGTATAGGTATAAGCACGATGTAGCGTTCCTGAAGCAGCGGAAGGAGAAGGCCGCGC